GCAGCTCCTTCCCTGACCCCAGCCAGCACTGAGCAGACTAGGTGTGTGGGTCCGAGCCAGCCTCGGGCCTGGACCCCAGCCGCCTGTTTGCACGGTGGCCAGGTCTCCCCGTGTGAAAAGAGGCTGAGCCTGGCTGTGCTCCTGGAGCTGCGGCACGTGTGCCCGTGCCTGCCAGGGGCGCCCGGCTGGGGCTGGAGCAGGACGGACGCGTCCGTTTGGCCCAGGGTAAAAGCTGCGAGAGAGCCGAGGTCACGACAGGGGGCCCCGGGTCCCCAGGGGAGTGTCCAGCTCTGCCGGGAGGGGAGTACCGATTGCCCTGATGGAGGCTGGAGTGTGGAGTGTGTGCTCAGGGTGTCTGGCGAGCCTCGACCAGTCCTCCCAGGCAGTGCCCGTCTCCCCTCCCCACCCCGCCCCCGCGCAGGGCCAGTCATGCCCTTGGCCTGGTTCCCTCTAACTCGAGCTTTCCGCAGTAGGAGGGCTGCGTCTCTCAGAGTAGGAGACGGTTCGTCCCCAGCACCTTTCAGCGGGAACCTGTGTGGCCCTGCCTTTTGCATACCGAGCAGGAGAGGCTGAGCGCGGCTCGGGGCCGAGTCCGAGAGCTGCTGAGTGCCGGGCACCTCTCACGAGGACGCGCGGTCACCTGGCCGGGCTCCTGAGGCCACCGACCCTAGGGCTGCTCCCTCCACCGCGCTTCCCTCTGCGCTGTGAGCTGGCCCGGGCGGCGGGCTGTGGGTGGGACACGGGGACGTAGAGGCCGTCCCGGGATGACTGGGATGTATCATTCCAGGCCCCTCCAGGTGCACGAGACAGAGAACCCAGTGCAAACTAGCCTAAAGGAAGTAGGGATTTACTGACTCATCTAACTGAACAGAATCAGGAAAAGTTAGATCCGGGACTTAGAAAAGCAATGTCAAGATCCAGTTTTCTCTGTTTTATGGTTTCATCTTTGTATTGGTTTATATAACGCCAGGTCCTCCCTGAAGGTCGCTGCTGTACTAGTTAAGAATAGTCCCTATGTGTATATAAAGGCAACCCCTGTATTCATTTTTATGAGGACAGCTCCTGTATTAGTTTATATAATGACAGTCCCTGTAGTGATTTATATGACGTTGCTTGTATTGGTGTATATATGGCAGCCCCTGTATTAGTTTGTAACGATAATGCTTGTATTAGTTTACATAAAAGCAGCGCCTGTATTAGCTCACATAACAACAATCGCTATATTAGGTTATGTAACGACAGCTTCTGTATTTATATAACAACAGCCCCTGTATTAGTTTCTATCAGGACAATCCCTGGTATCAGTTTATGTAAAGGCAGCCCCTGCAGCAGTTAATGTAACAATCCCTCTATTTGTCTAACAGCAGCCCCTGTATTAGTTTATGTAACGACAATCTCTGCATTAGTTTATGTAAGGACAGCCCCCCCCGCCCCCGCCCACTAACTAATATAAACGCAGCCCAGGTCTGTCTTTACATAAGGGGCACCCATGCAGGTTGCCGTCCCATCCCCAGGCTGCCTGGCCAGGTTCAGATCCCACAGAAGAGGCTCCCTGTGGGACGGCCCACACAGCCCCCAGGGCTCTGATTGGACTGAGTCATATGCATACTCCGAGCCAATCACGAGTGTCCAGGTGCTCCGACTGGCCGGGCCGGGCCGGGCAGCAGGTCTGCGTTGGTTCCCATCAGGGGCTGTCACTAGAGAGGCCTGGGCGCTGGGCAGTCATAGGGCAGGACACCGGACACTGGCTCTTCCCACCCTCCCTCCTGGCTGGATGAGCTCCTGTCCTGAGAAAGCAGGAGCTCACGGAGAAGCTGAGACTCCGGCCTGAGCCCTTTCTGAGGACACAGCGGAGCTGTTTGTCCCCAGGCTGCCTGGACCCCAGCTGAGACCCCACCTAGGGAGCAACCTATACAGAAGGGACTGCGTGTGGGTCAGGACTCAGCCCGAGAGCGGACTGGGGGCTGGGGTGGCCGCAGTCGCTGGGTCACGAGGATTCCCGGGGAGGGTGGAGTCGGTGTGGTCCCCTGTGCATGTGGGTGTTGTCTAGGAGTGCTTGCTCTCCACCCCCCGCCGCCTCCTCCTCAGGATTCCCACTGCGGCCGCTGGAGCCCAGGGCTTGAGGGAGTCCCATCCAGCAAGGCCGAGGCCCCCATTGCATGTCCGGACAAGGCTTCAGTGGGTTTGTTCACTCGGGGGCCACAGGGATAAGTCTGGGCTCACAAACTTGGTCTAGTGGGTGTCCAGGCCCTCCACCCTGTGTTTGCGGGTCCAGCCAGGCCAAGGATGCGTGTGGCCTTCTGCTGCGCTGCCCACGCCCGGGTGGAGCCCAGGACTCAGGAGGGCGTGGGTCTCCGGAGGAGGAGCTGTTGGGGCTGTGGGCGCAGTCGGCGGGGCAGGAAGACTAGCGCTGTGCAGCTCTGGTACACGGCGGCCACTGTTGTGTGGCGCCAAACATGACGTGCGAACATAACAGGTGATGACCCTGCAACGTATGACTCTGGGATGTGACGTGTACACTGCAGCTCCAGGACGTGATGTGGATGATGTGTGGATATAACGGACACGTCCCACGTGGGGATCTGGGACGTGAGGTGGGCTGTGTGGCTCTGAGTATGCGGACATAGTGACACGGGAGATGTGATGGTGGCTCTGACAGTCGACAGCTGATAGAGGTCACGAGGTGAGCCATGTGGCTCTGGGACAGGGCGTGCCACGCAGCCTTGAGCAATGACGAGTCACTCGCCCACTCTGCAGCCACCCCAGCCCCAGGCGGAAAGCGTCGGGGGTGGGAGGTGGGGGGAGTAGGCCCAGAGAGGCGAGCCCCGGGCGGGAAGGGCAAGGGCGGGGGGGGGGGGGGGGGGGGGGGGGGGGGGGAGGCTGGGGGGGGCGAGGCTGGTGGCTGGTTTGGGTGTTGGAGATTGGAGCAGAGGTGGCTTGCGCGGGAGAAGAGGGCGCGGTGGAGCTGGGGTCCCGAGTGGGGAGTCTGGACTCAGGAGGAGGAGAAGGAAAGAGCAAACCCATGGGCGGCGACGTCACGTGAGCACAGGACGGGGAGACGGAGCGCATCGGGACTTGGCACAAGCACAGGGGGTCACTGGAGGGATGCAAAGGGAGGTGCCAGCATCTTCAGTTTGGTCCTAGGCCTGAGGACAAGGAGGGAGGGAACAGCATCGCGTCACTAGGGGGTTTGGCCGGAATGGAGGAGAGGGCGAGCCCTCCCCTTGGTGGGACCCACCCCTGTCAGCCCATGGCCTTCCGCAGAGAAACATTGCCCCGGGTTTCAGGCGACAGTGACAACAGACAGCAAGTCACTTTGAGGGGAAAGTGCAAGAATTGCTCAGACTTTCTCAGGCAAGATGAAGCCTTTGAAACGCAGCCTTAGTGTCTGGGAGGGAGGGAAGGTGGGTGTAGAGCGAGGTCCGAGGAGGGCAGGGCCGCTCTGATCAAGTTGCGGTCAGAAATTGGGGTTTACCGCCCAGCGCACTGGAAGCGGTTCTGCAGACGCTGCCGCGGCCCAGGCAGCAGGTGGCAGTGATGGGGATGGGGGTAGCGAGGGAGACCCGGAGAAATGGATGCTCCCGGTGCACCCTGTGGGGGTAGATTGAGCAGGGCTGGGGGCATGTGGGGGTGGCAGAGGGGGGAGCGAGGTAGGAGAAAGCCTGGGAGTGAGCAGGATTCTGAATCCCAGGAACCTGGTGGTGGCGTTTTGTGAGATGCAGGCTGGAGGAACGTGTGGAGGGTTTGGACATGTTCGGTTTAAGATGTCGGGAGTGATATGAAATAAGAGGTGATACTGTCCTAGGAGTCTGCTAATCAGAAGGGGCACTTTTCCGATCAGGACAGGTATGATTCAGTATGGAGTTCCTGCTGGAAATCGTGTGTGATGTTGAGGAGGCCCTGTGTCCAGGAAAAGCTGGACCGAGGTCATAACTGAAAGTAGACAAGTGAAGGGGCCGTAGGGATATAGGGATGTTCACGGCCTGACACTGGATATTTCTAGGCGTGGGGAAAGGAGAGTCATGAGATCCTAGGGCCAAGCTCTTGGAACACACTGACACTGAGACACCAACAAAGGAATAGGAGCGAACAGAGACTGAGCCTGAGGGGTAGGAAGAGCACTAGGTGTGAGTTAGCAGGGAAGCCAGGCGAGGATGTGTTCAGGAGAGGGGCCAGCTGAGTTGGCCTCTGTTAAACGCAGTAGGCTGGAGACAAGGCTTGGCAACACAGAGGTCCCTGGCGGCCTTGACAAGAGCAGCTTTAGCATTGGAGTGAGGATTAGGCTCTTGGCCGGAGATGGAGGTAAGGATGCAGAGACAGTCCCTGTAGACGGTTTTCCACGAAGCTGGGGTGGGGGGGAGCTGCAGAGAGGGGACGTCCATCAGGTGTTAACATTTTTAAGATGGCAGGTAAGGAGGCACATGTGTCCACTCGGATGACAGATCCAGAACAGAGAGAGAAGCGGCTGCCAGCGCAGCGGAGGGAGGCTTCCCAGAGGAGGGCTTTGGAAGAGCAGGAGGAGGTGAGGTCCCAGGTGTGAGCGAGGGTTTGGATGCGGTGGGGGAAGGGACACACCAGACATTGCCCTGAGAGAAGGTGGAGGGCATGGGTGCACAGGTGGGTGAATTGGAGATTTGGTGGCAGGAGAAGCTGCGGAAACTGTTTGCTCTGTCAGCTACGAGGCCAGGTCATCAGCTGAGAACAGAAAAGAGAAGCTGAGCTTAAGGACAGAAGGGGAGGTGAAAGCATTAGTTTTGAGGGTGGAAATGCACTTTGCCAGAGCAGCGTAGTGGGGCAGCTTGAGACCCAAAGACTTGACTTTACGAGACCGGTCAGCACGGAGCGTGCTTCTCCGGCAGCCCCACTCAGCTCTGGGGCAGGCGCACGTTTAGCGGGGAGTTGGCTTAAGCCAAGTTCTGTTTTGCCCAGTGAGAGCATGGAGGGAGAGGGGGCAGGGGAGCTAATGGTGTTAGGCGAGCCCTGAATCCAAGATGGGCTACGCGGGGGCTCAGGGAGATGTGGATGCCGAGAGCACGGTAGGCCTGATGTTCTCGTGCGGGCAGCGCGGCCGGAGACTCTACGTACATCACGCCGAGCAAAGGGTCCCCAGTGGAGGAGTCGCCAGCAAGAAGCTAGAGGTGGAGAGGTTATTCAGGGCGGCAAGATCATAGAAGGTGAGGTGAAGGTCATTGGAGGGGCTACTGTCAAGGAGTGAAACCTACAAATGGCAAGGACCATTCAGTTTCCACTCGGGGAGGAAGTATGGGGAGGTGACAGGCAGGGCGCGTGCGCAGGCCGTAGGCGGGGGGCGGGGGGGCGGGGGGCTGCTGCGCCGCGTCCTGATCCGGTGCTGGCTGTCCAGGTGTGTTCCCTTTGTGACCGCTCACCAGGCTGCCAGCTTAGGATTCGGGCACTTTCCTCTCCCTCGGTCATAATTCAATACAGAGTTAGAAGTGTAAACAAGGACAGGTGGATGGACACCAAGACAAGTGATGTCAGCGATGGGGCACCGTGTTCTAGCTGTTCCTTCACCCCTTCGTCTCTGCGTGTGATTCTTTTGACACGCACTGACACAGCTGCCTCACTGCGGGCTCCTGGATTTTTTCTAAATAATTGTTGTCTCGTGTCTTATGATTAAGTCTTTAATCAGTTGTCTCACGAGTAGCATCAACAGGGATTACATTTAAAATGGAATAATTTTATCCTCCAAATATGCAGGGTGATTTGAGAATTATTTTGTTATGCCTGAGTCGCGAGTCCCCAGAGACCTCCAAGGAGCCAGCACCGATGCTAGTACAAAAGGGTCTTTATTACAAGCTCGAGCAGGGGCTCACCCGTCTCCCAGTGCAGTGGCAGCTAAGTGGAGCCCCGAACAGTGGTGAGCAGGGTTTTTATGGGGTAAGGGTGGGGGTGTTGCCGTGCACACGTTGTATGTTTTGCATCATTACATAAGCACCAATCACAATTGTACAGCACCCATAGTAACAGTTTTGACCATTCAGTATCTGCGAGGCGTCCGTTACGTTTAGCGGGACCCAATCATGACCTTTGAGAATCTTTTGAAAATGACCAATTATGAGGTGGGCTCAGAGGATCTACGTGGGGCTTATGCAAGCATGAATGATTGGCTATTTTGTACAAAGTACCTGCAGCTCCCAGCCCTGACTCCTCTCCAAGACCACAGGAATGTTACACGTTTCTTTTGATTGGCAGATCTGAGGGCGGTCCGAGGGTGGCTTCAGCTGAGGCTTTGCCTGGAACTGGGCTACGTGCATCCTGAGGGTGTTCCTAACAGAGGAACTCAACTTCAGGCTTCTCACTCCCCCCTTCTCTTATGTACTTGAAGGCCCAGTCATGGGTCTTCTGCTGGGTCCCCATCATTAGGGTGGTGGTGCTGGGACCTAAGCACCATGAGTTGTATTGCCCCCAGGCGTTGCGCATGAAGGCGATCAATCTATTCATGTATTTATTGGCTCTTTGTACACCTTTGGATCTTTGGAGAAACATTTATTCAAGCCTAAGGGAACACTGTTTCTCTAGTCACAATACTTCTGACACCACATGTATGGGAGTTTTCCCCCCATACCAACTAATTTATAACTATCTGGACACCAACTAGGTGTCTTAAATTTAATTTAAATCTGACACTGGGGCGCCCGGGTGGCTTAGTCGGTTAAGCGTCCGACTTTCGCTCAGGTCATGATCTCGCGGTTCGTGGGTTCGAGCCCCGCGTCGGGCTCTGTGCTGACTGCCAGCTCAGAGCCTGGAGCCTGTTTCAGAGTCTGTCACTCCCTCTCTCTCTGACCCTCCCCTGCTCATGCTGTCTCTCTCTCTCCTAGAAATAAATAAATAAAACATTTTAAAAAAAAATTGCTTAAATCTGACACTAACTCTCCGGAGTTAGCATCAGACTCCACAGGTTAAGGCCTCAGTTCCACAGGACTGCCCACTTCACATGCCAGTCAAAAGTAATGGGTCCTCAGGGTATCTACACTTCTGTCTGACTTGGCTACAAAGTTGGATGTTCCCATAGCACCCCAGAAGGTTCAACAGTAATCATCTGGGCCTCCACAGGTGTCGTCATTACCAGTTCTGAGACACACATAAAAGGTTCGTAGTCTCAGATTTTTGTGTTGACAGTCAGGATCGGGGTCTTTTTCCCGGCAATCGGGGGCAGTGCTGCACCCGGGAACACTACAGTCTCTACAGTATGTTTACCCCGCTGTCCCAGTGATCTCCCGCCAGACTACAGAGATCTAAGTGGAAGGCGGGGAACATGATGGACGCTGATCCGGTTAATGTCAGTTCTTGAACTATCCATCCCAAGTCTCTAGGTGTTGCTAGGGGTCCTCGCAAAACCCATTTTGCGGTGGTAGGTTGGTGAGGGTTGGGGAGATGAGGGCTGGGACTGGATTTACATACAGTTAGTAGAGCAGCAAAAATCAGGAGCAGCACAGCTTGAGTTTGAGCAGGTTTTTGGGGTGTTTTGTGGCCTTCCATTGAGGGTCTGGAGCCAGGTAGTCTTCTTTGACTGCGAACAGGTCGGCTGGCCGAGCGCGCGCGGGTATAGTGAATCCACGCAGCGACTCCATCAACATTCAGGGCTGTTGGGGTTGTGAGGAACACGGTGTATGGGCCTTCCCATCTGGGCTCTAAGTTTGCTTGGTGGTGTCTCTTAACGTAGACCCAGTCACCGGGGTGGAAGCGATGCGGCTCCGGTGGTGGACCTGTTCCATAGAGGGCATACAATTTAGGCCAAACATGTTTGTGGGCCCACTGGATGTTTTTAAAATCATTCATTAGGCGCTGATCTTCAAACTCGTTAATCACCTGTGCTTGGAGATTGGGAATGATGGGAGGGGCCATCCCAAACATGATTTCAAAAGGAGTTAACCCCATCTGATATGGAGAGTTGCGCACCCTATAGAGTGCAAAGGGAAGGAGAGCCACCCAGTCTCCACCAGTCTCCAAGGTCAATTTAGTTAAGGTCTCTTTTAGGGTTCTATTCATTCTTCCCACCTGTCCTGAACTCTGGGGTCTGTACACACAATGTAATTTCCAATCCATCCCCAAGACTTTGGCTACACTCTGGCCTACCTTGGACACAAATGCAGGTCCGTTGTCTGACCCTGTCATCTGAGGAAAGCCATAACTGGGGAAGATGTCTTCTAGGAGTTTCTTGGCCTTGATCTGGGCGGTCTCATGCTTAGTTGGGAACACTTCTGTCCATCCTGAAAAAGTATCTATAAACACTAGTAGATACTTGTACCCATATAGCCCTGATTTTACCTCAGCGAAGTCTGTCTCCCAGTAGGCTCCAGGTCGTCTTCCCCTCAGGCGGGTTCCGGGGTTGTTAAGATTTTTCATGGCGTTAGTGAGTTGGCATGCCTTGGAATTGGCCACAATCTGTCCAATCTTAGAGTTAGCATCTCTGATTTTTCTCTGATTTTTCTCTTAGCATGGCGAACCAAATCTTGCATTCTTTTGATTCCCATATGGTAGGCAAGGTGTATCTTGGTCAGGGCTCTCATCCCTAGATCTTCAGGGAGGATGAGCTTGTCATCTGCCAATTTATACCATCCTTCTAGGTATTTGGTCATAGGCAGCTTTTTGATCCATTGTAAACCTTCTTTGCTATATTCGGGGACTTTAGGGAGAGTAGGGTCTCCAGGGTCAACCAGGGTAACAGCCAGGTTATGATTGGCCCTAAGAGCAGCTTGCTTGGCTACTTGGTCTGCTAGGTTGTTGCCCTTAAAGATCGGATTATCATCCTTTTGGTGACCTGGGCAGTGAATAATAGCTGGCTTTTTGGGGAGCCATAAAGCTTTTAGTAAGGCCAAGATTTCTTCTTTGTTTTTGATAGTCTTTCCCTCAGCTGTGAGCAGTCCCCTTTCTCTGTATATGGCCCCATGGACCTGTGCGGTAGCGAAAGCGTACCTGCTGTCTGTATATATATTTAATTTTTTGTCTTTTCCCAGAGTCAAGGCTTTGGTTAGGGCTGCGAGCTTGGCCTTCTGTGCCGAAGTGCCAGTGGGCAAAGGCTCTGCCCATATCGTTTTCTCCATTGACACTACTGCCACCCCCGCATACCTTTGTCCCTCCTGCATGAAGCTGCTGCGTCTGTGAACCAGGTAACTTCTGCATCTGGAAGTGGAGTGTCTCTCAGTTCAGAACGGGTCCCATGAACTTGAGCCATGACCTCGGCACAGTCATGTAAGGGTGCTTCTAAGTCCGGATCCGGCAGCAGTGTGGATGGGTTCAGGGCTGTGGGGCCTGGAAGACGATTCGGGTAGGATTAAGCAACAAGGTCTGATAGTGTGTCATGCGGGCATTGCTGAGCCATCGGTCTGGCGGTTGTTTTAAGACCCTCTCGATGGCGTGGGGAGTGGTGATAATTAACTCTTGTCCCAGTGTCAGTTTATCTGCATCCTTAACCAGAAGAGCTACTGCCGCTATCATGCGGAGGCATGGGGGCCATCCTGCAGCCACCAGGTCAAGTTTCTTCGACAGATAGGCCACTGGGCGGCGCCATGGGCCCAAACGTTGGGTCAGGACACCCTTGGCTATTCCTCCATGTTCATCTATAAACAGGTGAAACGGCTTAGTCATGTCTGCTAGGCCCAAAGCGGGTGCTGACAGGAGGGCCTGTTTTAAAGTCTCAAAAGCCCTTTGATGTTCCTCAGTCCAGAGGAAGTTAGGCTGCCCTTTCGTGGCCCCATACAGAGGTCAGGCTATCTCAGCGCACCCAGGAATCCAGAGTCTGCAGAAACCGGCTGATCCTAGAAATTCCCGCACTTGTCTGGCGTTCCTAGGGGTAGGGATTCTTAGGACCATCTCTTTTCTCACTGTGACAGCCTTCACTTACCTCCCTTGAGGATATAGCCCAGGTACTGTACTTCTTTACAGATCTGGGCCTTTTTGGCAGAGGCCCGGTATCTTGGGTCCCCCAGGGTTTGCAGCAACTTCTCAGTGCTGGTCAAGCAGGTGTCTCGACTCTCAGCCGCAATAAGCAGATCATCCACGTACTGCAAAAGAGTCAGTTGGGGGTTTGGGGAGCGGAACTCACCCAAGTCCTTGTGTAAAGCTTTGTCGAAGATGGTGGGAGAGTTCTTGAACCCCTGGGGGAGTCTGGTCCATGTTAGCTGTCCGTTGATTCCTTTGTCAGGGTCGTGCCACTCGAAAGCGAAGAGGTCTTGGCTCTTGGGAGCCAGTGGGAGGCTGAAAAAGGCATCTTTTAGGTCCAGGACTGTGTACCAGATGTGGCTAGGTGGAATAGAGCTCAACAGGGTGTAGGGGTTAGGCACCGTCGGGTGGATGTCCATTACCCGCTTATTGGCCTCTCTCAGATCCTGTACAGGCCTGTAATCGTGAGAATTTGGCTTACGGACAGGTAATAAGGGCGTCTTCCAGGCCGACTGACACGGCCTCAGAATTCCTAGGTCTAGTAGGCGTCTGATATGGGGAGTTACACCCTTTTTGGCTTCCAGGGACATGGGGTACTGGCGGCCCCGGGCCGGGTCTGCCCCAGGCTTCAGTTCCACGAACACTGGGGGCCTACGCTTTGCTAACCCCATGCCTCCAGTCTCAGCCCGCGCTGATGGGAACTGCTGGAGCCGAGGTTGGACCCCTGCATCTGGTGTCAGCGGCACCTCATGCAGGTGATATCCGTCCATCAGCCCCAAGGTGAGCACGTGTATTGGCTGCCCAGCCTGGTCCAATACCCTAGTCCCTTCGGCCAAAAAATGGATTTGAGCTCCCAGCTTGGTCAGTAGGTCGTGGCCTAGCAAGGGGTATGGGCAGTCTGGGATGACCATAAAGTAGTGGGGTACCTGGCCCACACCAAGATCAACCGTTCTTCGGGTAGTCCATGGATACTGCTTCGTCCCTGTGGCTTCCTGGACCCATGATGTCTTGTTTGACAGGGGGCCAGCTGGTCAGCTGGTTGCTGGAGCACAGAATGTTGAGCCCCAGTGTCCACTAAGAACTCGGTGGACTTCCCCTCCACTTTTAGGGTTACCCTGGGTTCAGGGAGGGGTGCTGAACCCCGTCTCCCCTAATCGCTGTCCTCTCCCATTACTAGAATGGGAGCTTTGGACTTTCTCTTGGGGCATTCTTTAACCCAGGGTCCTTTTTCTTTGCAGTAGGTGCACTTGACATTGGGACAATTTTTGGCCCAGTGTCCCTCTTCTTTGCAGTAGGCACACTGATTTTTGCCTAATCGGGGGCACCCTCTGAGCCTCTGGGAGTTCTCCTTACCTTCTTCTCCTGAAGCCAACTGCCCGAGGCGTCTTTCCGGTCCTCCGGTTCTGCAGTTGCCGTGAGTAGGGTCTCGGCCAAGCCCTGGTTTTGTCTCCTCTCAGCTCTCATCTGTTTGTCCTCTGCACTGTCCCTGTTGCTGTGCACCCTCTCTGCCACAGCCACTAGATCTTGGAGGCTCTTTTCTCCTAGACGTTCTAATTTCTGAACTTTTCTCCGAATGTCGGGAGCAGACTGGTTGATAAAAGCCATGGTCACCGCAGCTAGGTTTGCTGGGGCCTCAGGGTCCATAGGGGCGCACGGGCGGAATGCCTCCATTATTCTCGCAAGGAATGCCGCGGGGCTTTCCTCGGGTCCCTGACGGACATTGTATACCTTAGCCATGTTAGCAGGCTTGCGAGCCGCAGCCTTGAGACCTGCCAACAGAGTCGGGCGGTAGACTGAGACTCTCCTCACCTTCAGCCAAGTTGTAGTCCCAATCCGGCCGTGCCAAGGGAAACCCAGTGTCAGTTCAAGCCTGGTCAGTGGTGGGAACTCCAGTGGGCCCAGGAACCAATTTCCTGGCTTCCCACTGGATTCTTTCCCGCTCCTCAGTAGTGAACAGAACCTGCAACAATTGCTGGCAATCATCCCAGTGGCTGATGAGTGAACGAAACAGTTTCTAATAGGTCAATAAGGGCACGGGGATTCTCCGAGAACGGAGCATTCTGGGACCTCCAGTTGTACAGATCGCTTGTGGCGAAGGGCCAGTAATGGTGGTGCTGGTTACCCCGATCATGGGGGGGGGGGGGGGGGGGTGGCTCTCAGGGGCAGGACGGTAGAGTCCGGTCCCTTGGGCGTCATTCCATGGCAGCTTCGTGTCCCTTGGGCGGGGGGGGGGGGGCCCATCTCTGCCGACCTCAGGGCCACTGGGGCTGGTGGGGCAGGGGGCGCCAGTGGTTCGGGTGGCTCCCCTGCCCCTTCCGCTGGGCCCTGTGGAGGGGGTAGATAAGGAGGGGGAAAAATTAATTCTTCCTCTGTTTCACTCTGTAAGATAGGGTAGAGCGGCACAGAGGGTTTAGTTTCCTTTTTCGGCTTCTCCGAAGCTCGGGAGGGTGTTTTCAGCTACCGCCAGGACCTCAGGTCTCTGTGGAGGCAAGAAACTTTTAATCCAAGGGGGTGGGTCATCAACCAGATCGGCCCAAACCACGATGTATGGGACTTGGTCTGGATGCCCCGTTTGGGGTTGGAAAACCCAGTCCTTGACCTTCTGAATGGTATCGCGGTCGAAGGTCCCCTCTGGTGGCCATCCTACGTTGAGAGCTGGCCATTCTGAGCTGCAGTAGCTTCGGAATGGACCTTTCCTGACAATCACCAAGAGGTTATGAACTCGTTTTTTAACCTCTCCAAAATGGGCTAACATTAAGTCTAGGGGTTTGGATGAAGTCTGTCCCATAGCGTCAGTCTCAGTCACAAGGTGATGAACACCAACAGAGAAAATCGGCAACCAGGGAGAGACACAGACACAGAAGGCTAGTCAACCGAAAAGTGAGACGCCGGCCTCAAGCCAGTTCGCGGTAGCATCTCGCTCTGCCTTTTACTGAGTTCTACCGAAGTGAGGGGCAGTCCTTACCCCCTTTACCGAGTTCCTTCGAAGTCAGGGGCACCGAGTCCCCTCCACAGATGGGGGCCTGGAACGTCTTCACAGGATCCCCTGTGGCCATGGCCCTTTGGCGCATCCGCCCCAACCGTTATCGGCCACCTCCAGAAACAACTTTACCCGGGATCACCAGAACACAGAACATAGAACTGACTAGACAAACAGAGACAAACAGTTTCTTACCGGTCGATTGACCCTTCGGATTGGGGATCCTGGGGGTCTTGGGGTTCCTGGCCAACGCACCAAATGTTATGCCTGAATCGCGAGTCCCCAGAGACCTCCAAGGCCGATGCAAGTACAAAAGGGTCTTTATTACAAGCTCGAGCAGGGGCTCACCCGTCTCCCGGTGCAGTGGCAGCTAAGTGGAGCCCCGAACAGTGGCGAGCAGGGTTTTTATGGGGTAAGGGCGGGGGTGTTACCGTGCACACGTTGTACGTTTTGCATCATTACATAAGCACCAATCACAATTGTACAGCACCCATAGTAACAGTTTTGACCATTCAGTATCTGCGAGGCGTCTGTTACGTTTAGCGGGACCCAATCATGACCTTTGAGAATCTTTTGAAAATGACCAATTATGAGGTGGGCTCAGAGAATCTACGGGGGGGGGGGGGGGGGGGGGGGGGGGGGGGGCTCCTGCAAGTGGTGATTGATTGGCAAGTTTGTACAAAGTAACTACCTGCAGCTCCCAGCCCTGACTCTCTCCAAGACCACAGGAATGTTACATGTTTCTTTTGATTGGCAGATCCGAGGGCGGTCCGAGGGTGGCTTCAGCTGAGGCTTTGCCTGGAACTGGGCTACAGAGGACTCAATTTCAGGCTCCTCAATTTAACAAGTCAGCTTATAGCCCGGCAGGTGGCGCGTTCAGTCCGGGAGACAGGTTTCAGGCCGTTTCCTTCGAGGCCGCTCTGGGACTGTCCTTGGTGTCTCTGGGACTTGTCACCGGAGAGCCTGTGAGTGATGTGAATTCCAGGCCCTTTGTGAAGGGAGGCGGGCGCCCACTGCTCAGGCACCTGATGTCCTCGTCCAGATGGCCCCAGAGTGGGGCTCCTGAGGTCCCCGCGGTGTCTGTGCTCCGGGAAGACAAAGGCCCCTTGGTTCCTCCTGGGGGCCCCAGGGGTCCAGGTGGGATGGCTGCCACTGGGCCGGCTTGGGCCTGCAGGACGCCGGCTGATTTACGTGCCTGTCCCCCCTCGCCTCCTCAGTGTCAGAGACGGAGGTGTCAGCCACCTGACGGCGTTCAGAGCCGCAGCCAGGCTCCCTCTACTGGAATCCAGGGTCTCCCCGAGCTGGTGGCCCCTGCGTCCCCTGAGAGCCAGAGGCGGTTGTGCTCCACGACGCATGTGTTTGAGATGCACGCCCCCCCTCACCCGTGCAGGGTCCGGTTACCTTCCTCCCTCTCTGGCTCCATTGCGTGGGTCTCTAAAAGCCCCATTTCCCCCCTTAATTTGGTCATCATGATTTTTACCTTTATCGATTTTCTCCGAGGAAACCAATCACTTGGGTTTAAAACAGTCGTTCTGAGAAAATTTCCAATTAGGATTAATGTTTACCTTCACGTTGGAACTCGGGATCAGGCTGTCGTCTTCTCTGCTGCTCGCGGGTGTAAAAGTGAGCAGCGAGCAGGGGTGTGGGGCTGGGGCACTTGTGGGGGCTGCCGGACAGGGCACATGACTTGCACTTACATTCAAGTTCCCGGAAGTTTACTTGTGTTATAAACGTGTCCTAAAAATTCCACGGGACATTTTTATCCTAACAAACATATGTTACTTAGTCACAGTGCAGATTTAATTGCACATCTTTTATTTGCTTAAAGCAGACGAGCATACCTCCCCCTTCCCCTCACCTCTCCTTCCCCTCTTCTTTCTCCCTCACCTCTCCCTCACCTCCCCTTTCTCCCTCACCTCCCCTTTCTCCCTCACCTCTCCCTCACCTCTCCTCTCTCCCTCACCTCACCCTCACCTCACCCCACCCTCACCTTGCCCTCACCACTCCTTCACTTCGCCCTCACCTCACTGACATTGCTCCCAAACCTTCTGGACCTGTGGGGTTGTCTCTGGCCCCCTGGAACTTGGACATCAAGGCCAGGAGGGTCCATGTCACCACCCTCCCCTCACGTGGAACCTGCACTATTGAGCTGCTGGGCTGGAAGAACATTCCAGGGGAGGCAGCAGGCAGCCAAGATGGGTTGGTGTGTCACACGAGTTTGTCCCTTGCTCAGGGTTCTGGGGAAGCCTCTCTGATGGGCACCCCGGGATTGTGCCCACCTCCCCAGGGGGCCGCGTCCGTCTTGAGCTCCGCGTTTGGCCATCTTTGCCTGTCTGGGTGGTGGGCGTGGGGCAGCTGTGGGGCAGATGGGCTGGGGTGTGCAGGCCACTCGGAGAGAGGCGGTGTGTCGTGGGGGTCCCGGGAGCGGCCCAGCCTCGTGTTCACTCCTCCTCAAGACCCCGCAGCTCCTCAGGAAGACTGCATAGCCACCGCCCTTGGGTTTGTCAGGAATGTGGCTGGCAGGGGGTCTGAGCCCAGGCGGCTTGTGGGACTCGGGGAGCAGGGTCCAGAACCGAGTCATCCGTGGAGAGGCAGGGCAAGACGAGGCACGAGGTGGAGAAATGTGGCAGCTGGGGACGCCCGGGTCAGGCCCCTGGCGCTTGGCCAGAGGTCAGACCTGGCTGATTTCTCGTGGCTGCTGTCCAAGCCTTGCCCTGATGTGGGCTTCAGTAGTGGACCTTGAAACTCCAGAACTGGGGGTGTTCGCTGGGGGTGTTGCCGAGTGGGGGTGAGTGCGGGCTGAAGGAGGCGAGCAGGCCACGCCGCTGCCTCACTTGTTCTCCACGGGGCCCGTGACAGATGTTCGCACCCCCGTGCTCATAGCAACGCCGTTCCCGTAGTTAAGAGTGACGGCAGCCCCACTGTGCACCGATGGGTGAACGGATGGGCAAAACCAGCCCATTCGTACAATGCGACGTGGTTCTGCTTTCAAAAGGTGGGAGAGCCTCACACCCGCTGCAGCGTGGACGAGGGAGGAGGACACGATGCTGGGTGAAACAACCCAGTCACAGAAACGTAAGGACCGTGTGACTCACTTCTGTGATGCGCTCCCGCTCTCAGACTCGCGGAGACAGCATAGGTGGCGGGCGTCGGGCTGGCGCAGGGGGAGCTGGCGTCTGGGGGCGCCTGAGGAGGTGGAACGTCCTCCCTGGTCCCCGGAAGCAGCATCAAGCTGTGCTGTCGCTCCCCTCCCCATCTTGAGACCCCGAAGGGGACAGAGAGGCCCCGGCACAAGGCCCCAGTGAAGGGTCCCAGCTCCACCCTCCTGACCAGCGTCACGCTGCCAGGGAGGGTGGCTGGCCCGCTGGCACCGTGCTCACCACACAGGACCTCATACCGCCCAGGCCTGGGCGGCCCTGTTCCACCCGCTGACCAGACCCCGGGGTGTCCCTCGGCCTCAGACTGCCCCAGACATGGAGACGGTGACCCTTGGTCACGGGACACACGGGTCTCTGTGGCACTCGTGGGGGCGGCACACCCACCATGCCTCTCAAAGTGTAGTTCTCAGAGCCAAGCCCGCAGTTCGGCCACGTCTGATTTTTCTTTTTAAGTTTTATGATTTCTTTTGAGAGAGAAAGAGAGAGGGAGGGAGCGAGGATCCCAAGCTGGCTCTGCACTGAGTGTGGAGCCCACGCAACTGTGAGATCAGGACCTGAGCTGAGATCGAGAGTCAGGTGCTTAACCCAGACCCCCCACCCCCACCCCCGCCTCGCCTGATTACGTGAATCGTCACAAACTGTTGTGCTTGAGCTTCCCTCCAACAGCTAACCGAGGGGCGTGCAGTGATGGCAGTCTTCTTGAGGAGGCGGCCCTCCTGCTTGGCGATTTTGAAAATGCCCCCGTCACACGCCCTGCACACACACACACACGTGTGTACACGCAACATGCACAGTTCTCTGCCGTACAATTTAGTATCCAAATTGTGACAATTTAGAGACTGAAAGGGGCCACTCTGTTCGTTCACGCCATGTCTGCAGGTGCCCACAGGACTGTCCCGGGGGCGCGCCCTTCCACCAAGAGGGTCCTTCATGCTCAGGTCCTGACTTTTCCTCAAGACGTGTTTCCACCCCTCTCTCTCTTCTTCCAGCCACACCAGCTTTTGCCTGCTGCCTCAGGGCCTTTGCGTGTGCTCTTCCTATGACCTGAGCCACCCTCTCCTCCCCCGGCTCATTTCTACTCATGCTTTAGTCTCTGCTGAAATGCTGCTGCCTGGGACGTACATTCACAGCCCCTCTGTGTCCATACCTCCTTCAGGGGCTGGCCTGATTTCCGTTCTGGCATGTAACACAATTTGTAATGGCATACTTGTTCACTGGGCCGATTTGTTCAGTGTGGCCCTTGCCCTGTGGACTGTGAGCTCCGTGCAGGTGGGGAGCAGCGGTGCTTCCCACCCGGTGTCCAGCACGCTGTGCCTCTGGTGTTCAGTGGATGACTTTGTTACCGCACCTTTACTTACCGGGGAGAAACCTACGCCCAGAGAGAAGGGGATCAAGGCCCTCCAGTCTGATCAGGTCACATCCTAAGCATCAACAAGTCTCTGTCCTTTGACCCAAAGATGCCTGTGGCTCTTCCGGCCTACGCTTGGACCCCTCGCGGACTGAGCAAGAATCCAGGCTCCTTCCCTGGAGAGCAGTAAATCGGCACTGATTTGGGCAGAGCAGCCCCCCTCTGCCAGGTATGTGTGCAGAGGGCAGGAAGCACGGTCCCCACTTCCGCAGGACAACGCGGGGGCAGCACGCCCCCACCCAGGCCTGGCTCTGGGGGTAGGATCTGGGGCTCAGTCCCAGCCCAGCGTGCTGGGTGGAGGCATGTTCTACTCCCCGGAGGACTGACGTGAACGGCGGTGGCGAGCTCCAATTCAGCGCCCTCAATCCCTGAGGGCTCCTAAACTCCAGGACGTCCCATCCAATAAGCCCGGAGTGGCGGGGGGTTAATGAGCCTGTGGATGAGTTTATCTTGGCAGGAAATGCAAGTGCAGATAATGGCAGCGTGGAAAGAGACCATTAGTGGGAACGCAGAGAGAAGAAAATAAAATCAGCATAGACTCCCCTGCGAAGTCCCTGGAGCCACACACGTGGCCCTGAGGGCACTGGGCCAGATTCTCCGTCGGCGGCAGCAGCGATGACCCGCTTCGAACAAGAAGCAATTTCTGTTTCCATCAACCACATCGACTCTGTCAGTTTGAAAGAGTGAACATTCCTTCCTGCCATTTGCTGGGATTTTGCTAATTCTTTCCTTTTTCTGGCAAGTGTACTAGCTCAGGCCTGGTTCAGAAGCAAGTGACAGGTGTAGCTCACACTGGGCTAAGTGAGAAATGAAGCCTGCGATGTACAGGGCTCACCGTGGGCCTCCGCGGCGGCGGCCCTTCCTCCTCTCGTCTCGGCTGCTCTCCTCTGAGCGGGGTTTCCCTGCAGGGCTGGGCGCCGGGGCAGGAGATGACGGTTAGTGTGTGTGACCACAGAGCCTGTGACCACAGAGCCCGCCAGCCTGTCGTGCTGGTCTCGCCGCAGAAGAGTTGGTGACTCCGGCCTCCGGGGAGCCCCGGACGCTCTCGTGTGGGCAGAACTGCCTCTCTATAACTTCTGCACGAAGTGTCCTTTCATGGTGCTCCCGAGTCCTGCGTGGAGAGAAGTCTGCAGAAGCACGAACTCAGATATAATTTCCCAGCCTGCACCCTGACCTGGGCTTTCCGTGAGCTGCTCAAATGAATGCATTTTCCTGGATTTGCAGATTAGGGTGCTGGGGGGCATCAGGGAGGTAGCTGCTGGGAACGGCTGTTAGAAGTGATTTCTCAAAACGTGGTAACGTCAGACTAGGCTCTCGCTCACTGTTCAGACTTTGCTTATAAATTCTGGAGAGGAGCACCTGTCCCCCCGGATGCCTCGGAGACCCCCTTCTTCCCTGCATGGTCCAGACTTGGCAACCCAGGTTCCGTGATTATGGAGTGCCCGAAGTGATTCCCTCCAGGGGCCCCCGCGATTTCTCATCCACGTGTGAAAACACCCACATGGCCCCCCCTGGCCTGCAGCGCCCCATGTGGCATAGCCCCCGCCTGCCATCAGTGCCCATCACCCCTCCCAGTTCTGCCTCAGCCCCTCCGACACTCCTGCTATTCCTTGAACATGCTGAGCTCACGTCTACCCCAGGGCCTTTGCACTTCCTATTTCACTTGCCTAAACACAGTTCCCACAGACCCCACCCTTTCAGTCTCCATTCAAGTGTCACCTCCTCCTAAAGGCCTTCGCTGACCACCTGTCTAATGCATCGTCCTTCACCAAGTCACACTCACACCACCCTTTTCCTCAGCATACTTGTCACTGTCTGAAATTATGTGCCAGTTTGTTTAGAGAATAGTTTCTGAGTCCACCAATTCTGGAACTGGATGCCTTCTCTGAATGTCAGTATCCCCACTTGCCACGTGGCCTTGGGAAAGTAACTTGGTTTCATTTTGCCTTCCTCAGTTTTTCATTTATAAGTGGGGGATAAGGAGACCGTCTGCCTCAGGTGTTAATGGCATCAAGTGAGTGATTTAACCCACGTGAGGTGTTTAGAATAGTGGAGGTGCAGATGGAGGCTGTGACAGTGTTTACTTGTATGAGTGCTTCATCTGTGACGTCCCCTGGTGCTCCCACCGCCATCGTCCCCATCACTGTCACTGCCATCACCACCATCACTGTCACCGCCATCATCCCCATCACTCATCGCCATCATCACTGCCATCGTCCCCATCACTGTCACCGCCATCGTCCCCATCACTGTCGTCACCATCATCACCGTCATCGTCCCCATCACTGTCACCACCATCATCCCCATCACTGTCACCGCCATCGTCCCCATCACTGTCACCGCCATCGTCCCCATCACTGTCATCGCCATCATCACTGCCATCGTCCCCATCACTGTCACCGCCATCGTCACCATCACTGTCATCGCCATCATCACTGCCATCGTCCCCATCACTGTCACCGCCATCGTCCCCATCACTGTCACTGCCATCGTCCCCATCACTGTCACCGCCATCATCACATCACTGTCACCATCACCATCATCGTCCCCATCACTGTCACCGCCATCACCATCATCCCCATCACTGTCACCGCCATCATCACAGTCACCGTCACCATCATCACCATCATCGTCCCCATCACTGTCACTACCATCATCACAGTCACCGTCACCATCATCACCATCATCGTCCCCATCACTGTCACTACCATCATCACAGTCACCGTCACCATCATCACCATCATCGTCCCCATCACTGTCACTACCATCATCACAGTCACCGTCACCATCATCACCATCATCGTCCCCATCACTGTTTCCTAACGGGGCTGTAAACTGAGGGAGCTCAGTCTGCCCAGTCTGGGCCAGTGGGTGGCATGGGGTAGGCGTGGAAGTATTTGTGGAATGAATGTGCAGTTCCTGAGTGAACACGTGTGCAAACGCTCCAGATGCAGTGGGGTTCTGCTGCGAGGCCGACGGTCCATGGAAGAGACCACTGACCGCTGGAGTCTGGCTGATAAAGGATCAAAAATAAAAGCCAGCCTCCGCCCACCCCGGATGCTCTTCCAGCTTTGCCTGCTCTCCTGGCGCCTGAGTCACCCGGGACTCCGTGTTGCCTCATTGATAAGTGTCCGGGCAGATTCAGTGATGGATTTTGCATCAATTCCATCCTGCCCTGGGAGCAGGCCTGGGCAGAAAAGCTCTCTAAATAGAGACAACTAATGGCGGCTGTGTGGCCCTGGGCAAAGGGAGGTGGCGGGAGAGAGCTTCCTTTTCACTAGCGGAGGCCCAAGAGGCCAGGCAGGAGGTGTGGGCCCAGCCTGCTCTGCGCCCAGACTCCCCGCAGCCTGGCTCACAAAGCTGCCTGCGGGCTCTGCTGGGAAGAGGCTTGCGAGTGGGTTCTGGGTGAGGAGTCCGAGCTCAAAAGGAGGACGAGAAGCTCAGCCCCTGCCTGGCAGCGCCTGCCTGGAGGCCGGGGCGCAGAGGCCGCCCTCCTGCCGTGCCTGGCAGACGGAGCAAATCAGATGATTTGCTCATGAAATTCAGCACTCCGGGTCGCGGTGGGAATTCGGGTTCTGTAACTTGAAAATATTCTACTAATCGAGAAAAAAAATAAGAGAAATAGCTCTCTTTCATGTTGCCATCAAAATCCATCATTTATGAGATGGTCCTTTTTATCCAGACACTTAGCTTGTTAAGTATCCCACACGCCAAACCCCAAGGTGGCTCCTTCCTCCGCAGATCTCCTGTCAGATGGAAACCACGCATGCTCCCCGGGGTTTCACGCGTCCTCGGGGGGCCGGCCTCCTGCAGCTCCAACTCCCCGTCCCCACACATCGCTCTTCCAGCCATTCATCCTGCTTCTGTCTGCGCAGGGAAGTCCGGAGTTGGGACTCGGCCCCGTTTTCCATGAAAGAGATGGGGGGGCGGCCCATGATCCCCCAGTGCGTTCCCGCAGGAGGGGACCCCTGCCCCACCTGCTGCCGGTCGATCATGCTCATTATCAGAAATGCCCCCACTTACCCTCTGATGAATGGGCTCACATGGGATCTCTTTCTCTACCCCGTCAGCACTGACTTTGCAACTTTCCAGGGAAGAATTGGTTCTGGGGAATAACTGAGTCACTCATTTTGCGTTTGACTCTGGTGACTCACAGCTCAGGTTTGGAGCGCCGTTTCATTAGTCTCGTGCCGTTTTTGCCACCTCTGAAGCAGCTACAATCGGCCAGTCTGGATGGTGGTGAAGGGGGGTTGGGCAGCCCGCCGACCCTGGTGATAAGGTCAGAGGGTCTGGGAGTGCAGGGGGCCTGGCCCTCTTCCTGGGGGGGCGTGGGAGGCGGGGGCCACCCCCGTGCCCTCCACACCTGCAGGGCGGGGCTGTGCCATGACGAGGCTGCACAGAGCTCCCCACGCTCCCTGAGGGCTGGGCCCCCCTGAGAGGTCCGAGGCTGAACACCTGGTGGGCGTCACGGACAAGGTGGGGGTCTGGAGCGTCACCGCATGGCCCGGTGGCCAAGGTGATCACAGAGCAGTGGGACCTCGATGGTCATGAACACGGGGGCCCAGCATCAGGCTCCACCCCACGCACCCTTACGTGTTCACTCCGCACAAGCCCCTCCCGCTGGAGGACGAAGCTTCGGAGGGAGACCACGTGACTGGGCAGGCTGGCCGCGCAGCCTCACTGTCCTCCGGCCTGGTGGCCCGACCCTGGGCACTGCACCCACAACCAGCGCGGACGGTCCACTTCCCGCCTGGGGCTCCCCATCTCCTCGCTGGCCCCGGGCCTGCCGGCAGGGACAGCTTCCTGCCCTAAGTCCCGGGCGTGTCCGTGCTCCTGGTGGGCTCCCTGTGCCCCCTCCACAGCCCCGAGAACAGCCTTTCTTCAGCGGTGCCCGCGATCCGCCTGCGCTGATTCTCTGCCCTCAGGACACCGACTGGAGCCCCAGAGAAAGTGTGAACCACTGGAGATGGGGCTTCTCGCCCTGGAGGAACCGGGGCTCAGGGCGGGCAAGTTCCTCTGTGCACCTGACGTGTGGCCTGGGCTCACACCCGCCCCGTCCCCATCCCCTCCTCTTCTAGAAGGGGGTTCCCAGTTGTCTGAGAGGTAACGCTGTGACTGCCAGATGCTCGTGGCAAGAGAGGCCATACTCAGGAGGGTGAGCCGACACGAAGAAGCGTCTGCAGGGAGAGAGTCCCAAAGCTTAGAGGACGTAAGCTCCCAGTAACACCGTGGAAAGTATGAAACATGGAGCAAAGATTTAGGGGACGATCTGCCCTGAAAGACTCTTGCCCCCCTGCCAGGCTGAGTCTGACGCACGCGGTCTGCAGGCCGCACCAGGAGACACAGGTCCCTGGCTTACGCGGGGGCCCAGCCTGGACAGCAGCGGGACCCCCAGCTGTGGCCCAGCAGGGAGGTCTTCAGGGGGTCGGGGCAGAGCCCTCGCCAGCAGCCGGTCACCAGCAGGGTTGGTAGGAGACGCGCGGCCTTGGGGGGTGTGTGCGTCTGAGGGTGAACATCCTGCGAGTGCGCAGGTGGGGGACGGTCACCGTCACGGTGCTTTTCCTCACGTCCTCGTATTCGCTCGGAGCGCTGAGCAGCCTTGTAAAGTCATAGCTATTTTTAGGAAGGACAGTGTCCTTGCACAAATACAAGGATGCTTTAGAGTCAAAGCAAAACATGATCTACTGGGGACGGCGGCCTGTGCTTCCCCTCTGCCATTAAATTACTTGGCCTGACAGCGTGTCCAAGTATTGAATTATTAAATACAGAAATGTTGGCACCATTTAAGTGCAGTTCCTGTAAGCTCAGTGTGTGGAAGAAAGGTCACAGAGGAAACTCTCTGTAGAAAGACGAAAGGAAGCCTGGAACAGAGACCCAGGTGTCCCGCTGCGGCAGGGGGAGGCGGGGAAGGCGGAGGCGGGAGGGCACCCCCAGAGAGGGTGCAGGGCACGGCAGGGCGGAGAGGCCAGTCCCCGGGACTCGGCGGGGCTTCCAGGCTGGACGTGGGTTCTCACCGGAGGTTTACCGATGAGGGGGCGCTGCTCACGGCAGGAAGTGAAAATAATCACCTGCCCCAGAGAGCGAGTTCTGAGTTTGCAGCAGCCGCATGGCCCAGGAAGATACGTGCGCAGATGTCACCACGTCCACACTGACCGGGGGCGTCTCCCTAGCATGCGGCCCTGTCTGCACTGACTAGGAATGTTGTTCTCATTCTCCAGGGGGGTTTGTAGCTGCCTGGGGTTATTTCCTCATTACCCCTGTGCTTTACACTGACCTCAGATGTTTCCATTGTCCACTGTTGTGTCTGCACCGGCCTGGCCTAATTCTCCAGGTGTGTCTACACTGAACACGGATGTTTCCTCACTCTCTCAGTGTGTCTAAACTGAGAAGGCTCCCTTCTCTAGTTACCCTGCCGTGTCTGCGCTGACCTGCTGGTCTCCCCACCCCCCTGCCGTGTCTGCGCTGACCTGCTGGTCTCCCCACCCCCCTGCCGTGTCTGCGCTGACCTGCTGGTCTCCCCACCCCCCTGCTGTGTCTACGCTGACCTGCTGGTCTCGCCTCTACTGCTGTGTCTGCTCTGAGCCTGCGGGGGCTCCCTAGTCCCCTGGGCCTGACGGGCCACCTGAGCTCCTCCAAGGTTTGCCGGCAAGACAGCCAGGAGCTAGTGCTCAGCGCCCCCCAGGCCGGCCCAGGGCTCTTAGCCAGGAGCACTGGCTCCAGTGTGGACGCATCAGTTCAGGACTGTTTTCCTGCCTGGGAATCTGCTTCAGACAAATTGTTCAGTCAGCCAATTAACGAGCCCCACCCCCACCCTTGCCCTGGGGCTGGTGCGGCCTTCCTGGCCTCCCCCCGGCGGGGGGGAGGGGAACCACTGAGCACAGGGCTGACCGGGCCAGAGCCCCCTCCCCAGTGGAGGCTGAGTGGCAGGGAGAGAGGGGCTCTCTTCCCGGACCCCGAGGACAGGTCCCGTGTCCCAGGAGGGAGCGACGGTACCCGCGGCCGGTGACCCAGATGCCGAGCCCGATGGAAGGGAGGTGAGGTGGGATCCGTGGTCACAGCGAGAGGCCTGCCCGAGGCTCAGACGCCTGTCCCTGCATCTCAGGCCGCAGCCCCGAGCGGTCGGGCCCCTTCCCCAGCCGAGGCCTCAGAGAACCCCTGAGGCCCCCCAGGTGAGGCCTCCTAAGTGTGGGCCCCCCTCCAGTTACGGACCCTCAGGTAGGGTTCCCCCAGATGCGGGCTCCCAGGTTAGGCCCCTTGTTGAAGCCCCTATAGGTGAGGGCCTCCCAGGTAGGGTCTCCCCAGGTGAGGACCCTCAGAGCTGCCTTCCGGGGTCTGAGCTCGTGGACTTGACGGCACCAGGCCTGGGCCTCGGGGTCTTCTGGGAGGGGGCCTCGGACCAGGCACGGACCGGTCTCTGCGGGACCGGGGCTGCGCGTCTGTAGACGGTGGGGTTGGCACCAGCCGCTGCCGCGGTCAGGACGCCTGCGTCCCCGCACCCCCCCGTCCTCTGTGTCCCCCGGTGAACTCAGGGCCGGCTGCGGGGCAGGATGCGGGCTCCGTGCAGCGTCCACACCTGCCTGAGTCCCCAGGTGGTGGCTTTGCAGTAAATGTCCCGGGCGTGGGGGGGGGGG